GAAAAAAGCAGTTAGGATGCAATACGCGGTCAGATCAATGAGGGAGGAACGACGTCGTGCGACTCGCGGACGGTTGCGCAGGCGCGGAATTGGTTTGCACGACGAGGAATTGAAGCAAGTCCGGGGCGTCCGATCGAGGACGATGGGAGCCGCGGCTTTCCTACCCGCGACGGGGAAATGGAGTGCGCGGGATGGCGGCCCTCCCGAATTGAAGTGGAAGGTGGGAAGTTATTGAAGAGCCGTCGTGCAACGTGTTGTGTCGTCGGCGGCCGTGGCTTCTCTGGAGATCGAGTGAGATGCGAGAACCGAGGTGGGGAAGGTGAGAGATGATCGACGGGCGGAATTGGATGGGCTGCGCAGGGACGAACGTGGTGTGGGCTTGACTGAGCGCGATGAAAATAGACGCACCAAGGCCCAAAGCCCTCTCTCGGTTCGCCGACCTGCCGGTTTCCGGCGCAAAATGAGAACGAAGCGGTAGGGGCATGTGCCACAGGCGCAGAAAACGAGGCGGCGGAGGTGAGAGAAAAATCAGAAAGGGTGGCGAATCAAGACCCATCTGTTATCCTCGGACTTCAAATCCCACGGTAATAACATTCTGACGTTGAGGACTGAGCGTTGTGGCTGAAATGTCGCGAGAGAAGGAAGCACGCCGCAGGACGGAAATTGCGGCCATGAGGGCGCGGCTGAAGGATCCCATATTGTCTTGGTACGATACAGAGAGGCAAATTCGACGACTGGAGGAGACGCCGAGGGAGCATCAGGCAATGGTGAAAAGAGACGGGTCAATTGATAACCGGGCCGGAACCCGCAGTTACACCGCTTATCAGACCGCCACCACTCGCGATTTCGGCGACATCAACGTGCTCTTATGCGCCCCAACTCGTTTTCCTCACATTATCTGACGGAGGATCCCCTTCCCGCTGGCTTCTCGGACATTGGTCCATCTCGCTCCACCTCAGCCTTTGCCCTCCTCTTCAGTGCCTGGGTGCAGTCCCCATCGACCATTCAACACCTGCCTGCTATGGCGCATCGCTTTTGGCCTCGCTATACCCCCCGCCGACCCGTGCGCCGCTGCCTCCGCCTGTCGCGTTTTGACATTTGGGAACGACGATGTCAGTGCTATTTCGATGACAAGATATGTATGGAGACGTCCACCGAGCTGAGACGTCACACTCCCGGTGAGCCTCAATATTCCCTTCCTGTCCGCATCGCGTGTATCCCCCCGACGTTCTGCGCCATCCCCCCCGTTAGCTGCGTTTACCATCCACTACCTCGCATGTCTCCGGGGCACTTCGCATAAGCCACTACGCTCAACGCACCTTAGCTATATGTTTCACCTACCGCGCGAGCCGCTACGCTCAACGCACCTTGGCTATATATCTCACCTACCGCCGGCAAGCGTTACCTGTGCGGGCTGCGTTCTGCAGTTGTCGCACGACGATACACGCCCTCCGCTCGCCCAACCTCGATATCCACTCGCTGTCCCTCCCGACTGCCTTGAACGCTTCCCCTTCCAATTCCTGATTCTGTCTGTAACTAACCAATGTTGTTATTTTCAGCGTAGAGATCTCATCCCTGCAGCGCAGGGCGTCCTCGCGCTGTTCCACATCCCGAACAACGATTACGCGTTGGCCTCGCACCACGACGACGACGACGAGGAGGTCGAAGAGCGCACCCTGCGGATGGTTCTTGGGCGTGGCGGATCCTATTTCAGACTCAACCCGGCGAGGGAGTCCCGAAATATCCGCCAATGGGAATGGACTACTTGAATTGTTGTTGACAACATAATACAGACTGTTTTTCAAAGATGTGCACAAACAAAATGCATTCTAAAGACGGCGAAAGCCCTCGATGGCAGTCACCCTGTTCTTCTCATCCCTTGTGATTCCGACCCCCTTCACGACGATCTCCAACACCCATTCGAGGGCTAGCGCGAGGCCCTCCCCACTGGAACTGTGCTCCTTGCGCGGGAGGTTGATATAACGCGTCGATGGAACTGGTTTGACGCCGAGGAGGGTGTTAATGCGGCCACTGAGTGGGTTGCCGATCTTGGAAACGACGTTGGGGTCACCAATGGCGACGACCTTCCCGGGGCTGGATCTGCCGAACGAACCAGCAGGGGGCTGGATGATCATGAGGATAATGGTGTGCAAATCTTTCGTCGCCCACTCGCCGTTGGACATACAGGTGGGATTCGCGGTCCACAGGGCGGCCACTGCCAGAGATGTCACATCCTTGGGGCCGCTCCTTTGCGAACGCGGACATGGCACCGAATTGCTGGAAGAACGCACTGCTGTACTTCTGGTCGTCGTTCTCGTACATAATCGGACGCTTCCAGACCTGCAAAAATTAACATTAAAAAAAATAAAGAAAGACTCTGTGTGATGTATCGAGATGTGCGGATTCATCTGCTGCGCGAGGTTGTGCGCGAGGTGGAGGAAAGGACCCGCGGCACCGGACGAATCGCCGATGCGCAAAATCTCCGTGCGGAGCTGAGCCTCCAGGGGATCGGTGGTGAACGGCTTTGGCGGGTCGCGTCCGGGGGCAGACGGGTCGGCGATGGTGCGTCTCTCGGCGTCCTCTAACCAAACCTGGTGCTCCTCTGGGCCCCTGGAGTTGTCTGGAACAAACGGGGCCTGCTGCAAACAATGTGAGTGTGGGAAGGGGCGGGGTCAAATTGCTGGGGACACGCCTTGTTGGTCAGTTTCTTGCTGGGGGCCATGGAGGTGGGGGTCGTGAAGAAAGAAAGGGCGCGCACGAGGAGCAAGGAAGCCGAATTCGGGGAGTGAGTGTGCCACAAGTCCTAGCCGGAATAATCATTGTGTAATGATTACGGTCGTGGGTTCGTCCCACAAAAACCGTGGGGGGTTTTAGTGGGTATTGCATCCCCGAGTCCCACAGTACCGTGACTTGTTCTGTCATGTGTCTGCCTAAATGCATTTCCTGGATCCCCTACGGCAATCTGTGCGGGTGTCACGCGTCAATGCGTGAGCGCACTAACATGCTACAACAAAGGCATGAGCAACGTTCCCAAAAGAAAAAGAAAAAAAGGAAGCCGAATTTTCCGGAGCTAGCCACGAACCCGTGCCTTGCTTGTCGTGGCATTCGGGCTCGTTGCGTTCCGACGACTCTTTTAAAGCGACCGTTCCCTTAAAGAAGTTGCCGTTGGAAAAGCAAGTATTACTTAAGTACAACTTGAAATAATGTATGAATACCCTAAATCACCTTCAACTGTGATTTAGGGTCCGAATCCTACCCCAAGTCCGAGTTCAATCCCTGGATTCCACCAAATTCAAGTGAATCTGAGGGAAAATGTGGACGTCCCTTCTCTAACGCAACTGGAGCCTTAAATAATTCAGAGCCGGCCTTTTTTTTGCACACAGTGCAAACATTAAAGTATAGAGCAGATGTCATCCAAAGACGGTCCGGTCCTCTCTTCGAGCTCTACGATTCTACGTCCTGAGCTTTCGGATGAACAAGTGAGATGACGGGAATACGTCCCGACATGGCGGTTTGCGAACGAAATTGGCAAAGTGGTGCTTAGCGAAGTTTGGCACGGGCGTCGAAGATATTCCACTTGAGTCGCTTCTTATGTGTCTCAGATCCAAAGTTGAGATCTAATTGCTGATTTATGTAGGTTCACAGGCAGGTCATACAAGCCTGTTTTTCTCCAAAACATCCTGTTTTACAACTCGAACCTTTTTTTGTCTCGGTAAATTTCACTTTCAACAGTCCTGACGACGTTCGGCAGTAGCTAATAAAGGCCCGGTGGCGATGGTTCGCATCTGCATCCAATGCACTCTTCCTCCCCATTTCTGCAGACAACGCTCGTTCGATTCGAGTACTGGGCATGATGCTGCTCTGAGCTTTTTTGCCCTAAAACATTCGGCTCTCAACACCACGGTGAGTGAGTTCTGATATAGCAAAGGAAAGCCCGGTAGCAATGGTTTGCATCTGCACCCAACCTGTATTTAGTTGAGTTCTCCAGACAACGCTCGCTCGACTCGAGCACTGGGTATAGGCGTTCCAGACTTCTTTTTCTAGCTTCAAGACCATTCTCCTGGCCAGAGAAAGCCCTGGCAGCGGTGAGTCCGTCTCTGTGACAAATACCCATAGAGCAGTAGACTTCTTTCACCCCCTTTTCTCAACTCCTCACATTCCTTTGCCCCAGAAAAAGCCACTTTGACAAGCTTCTGCAGTAGCGAGGGAAGACCTAGTAGCCTGGTTCGACTGTGTTTAATGCCGTCCATCACCTTCTCGATGACGCTCGTTCGATTCGAGCACTGGGCATGGTGTTGTTCAACTTCATCTTCTTTTTTTTGAGCATAGAAATCCCGATTTCAACACAATCCTAACGAAGTTTTCCAGCAGCAAAGAAAGGCCCAGTAGCGGTGGTTCGCATCTGCCCCGAATATTGCAGAAGTTCTGATTCCTAAAAACGACGCTTCGTTCGATTCGAGCACTGGGCATAGCCTGCGTGCTTCACACCTTTTTTACCCCCAGAAATGCCGCTTTCAACACCATCTTAACCAAGCTCCCAAGTTGCAGGAGAAGGCTCGGTAGCGGTGGTCCGCATCTGCACATTATTCTCCAGGACTCGACTTCCGCAGACAACGCTTGTTCGATTCGAGCCCGAGCCATGCGATAGGAGAGATTGCCGTCATTTTTATGCTCTGTTACGAATTTCAAGTCAGAATTAATGACGTTAGTTCTGTTTTGCCAATCAAGCCAGGGGGTAGCTGAAGAAAGGCAGGTCGGGAACGCTCAGGAGTAGGTATCAATCAGCCTTGATAACGTAGTGAAAGTGCGAGGCCGCTCCCGGACCGGAATATGACTGTTTTCATAGCGCTAGCAAATTTTGCCGATAAGCCGGGTTCGCCTCCCCGCGTCCCACCTAAAATATTGGCCATCCTTTTCTTTTGTCTGGCAAGGATTTATTTCCTCGCTGCTGTTCTTGAATTCCACTGATATGAATGTAAAGGACGAACCAGGGGAAGAAATGGGACGTGGTGTACGGCGCACCGCTGCATTCAATCATGTAAGATATGCAGAATGTTGAAGAGCAGAAAGCCGGGGTTCGACTCCCCGCGTCCCACATACTATATTGGCTGAGCCGCTGAGGCTTCATTTTTTTCTGGGCTGGAGTTCGTCCTTGAGACGGTCCCATGAAAAATATAATATCCGAGTAAAAGCGCCGGGCCCTGTTTCGCCGAGTCTGGTTTTCTAGTTGTCTTAATTCTTCTTCGCCCGCAAGTTCCTAAATTCGGCTGATATAAATCCAGGGGACGAACCAGGGGAAGAAATGGGACGTGGTGTACGGCGCACCGCCGCATTCGATATGCCAGAATACGTATGAGTTGAACAGCGGCAAGCCGGGGTTCGACTCCCCGCATCCCACTTTTGGTAGCGGAAAGCTTACCTTTTTTCTTCTTCCTTTCATATAAGGATTTCGGTCGTTGGAAGAGTCTGAATCTTAAGATGAATGTGATATATATATATATATTTGAGGAAAGCGCGGGTTTCGATGTCGCGCCCGATCGTGAGTAGCAGTGATTTTGCAGCTTTGCTTCAGCAGTTCACGAATTCCGTTTATATAAATCCAGGGAACAAATAAGCGGAGTAAATGGGACGTGGTGTACGGTGCACCGCAGTATTCAATAGATTTTGAAATGACGAAGTAAAGCAGCAGGCCGGGGTTCGACTCCCCGCGTCCCAATAGCAGAAATACGCGCACTTTTTGTCAAGTATTCATTTAATTTTTTGTGCAGGGCGTATTGAGACTTACTGAGATGAATTTAATATGGCTATCTTTCACTGAGAATCCTGCTGGCAGAGGTTGAAGTTCGACATCGAACATTGCAGGTGTGCATCCCTGTTTGCACTGGACCGGTGGCAAGCAGCGCACCGCCACACACTGACATCTCCTGCTCCAGTCAAGCTCCAATCTCTCTTGACAGACACTTTATTGATAGCACCTCGTGCTCCGCGTCCTTTCTCAACAATTGAACCTCAACTGTATCAGTGAGGCCTTGTGGGAATAGGTTAGATATCGCGCTCAGTATTAGTCCAAGGAAGAAAATCTGGGAATGGAGAATTGTTAGATTGCTGCAACTCCACGCTCCAAGTACGAACGCGTTTTGAATGCTGGCAGTATATATAGGATGCAGTGAATGAAAGAATCAACAAGGAACATGAATGAATGGGCGGAGTTGGGAGTCAAGTTGGTTCATACTCAACTTCCAGCAGGATATATAGCAGTGGGTAATGAACGAGCCTGGCGGTGATATGGGCTGACGACTAGCGGAAATACATGTCGAGCCGAATGTTGGGCCTGCTGGAATAGTTGGAGAAATATCTGTAAAACTACGATTCAGTTCATAAACAAAAGAAAAGCTGGACTCGGCGTAACTCGAAGCGTGCCGATAATGCAAACGGGATGGCATCCAAATGGGTTGACAGAGTTGAAAGTACGAGCTATCCGAGTTTGAGGTGCAGCGAAACACCAATGTGGATCGGAGGTGTCGAATAGACTGTGTTTGCATGGGCAACTAAAAGGTGGCACCGACTCACGAGGATGCCAAAGACACAGTCCTTGTGAGGTTACTGGCCGATATTCGAATGCCGAGTTCGACTTGGACGCAGAATGCACAAGAACTGCGGTAACTTGATAGGGCCTTGGATGCGTGTGATATATTACTGTATCTGTAAAGTGCGAGTCAGAGATGTAGCAAGATGAAAGATGGGCGAGGTTGGAGTCAAGATCAGAGTCGAAAAATATGTCCTGAATGAAAAAATAAGTTGGAATCCAGGTCAGATACAGCAGTAGAAATGAATGCACTTCGAAAGATAATCGAGGTTAGCGTGCATATGATTGTGCAGTGTGCAGTTTACGCGAGTGGAAGGTCGATGGGAAGACAGCATAGAAAACATTCGGGAGAAAGATACACGTCAAAGGGAGATATGAGACAAGAAAGCATGAACGAAGGTGACCTTCGAGAATATATACTTAAGCGTTGGTCGTGGATATTTGAGTCGAACTTGAAATTACGGGTTGATGTGCGCGATGAAGTCGAAGAAGAGCCGATGGATCAAACATAAACCAAGCAGAGATGAAGTCAGCCGAAGGATAAGGCTCAGTTCGACAGAGCTTACTGAAGAAATTCGGGACACATAGGTGGAGTCAAATTGACTGCGCAACCCAGGATGAGGCCATAGAGGTGGGGTTCAGAGCTGAAAGAAATAACTGGTCGCAGGTCAGTCAGACTCCACAGAAATTGGAATCTCGAGAGCATCAAAGGGCGAGTTCAAGTGCCGAGTGAAAATTGTGACACAGAAAGAATGGCAAAAGAAAGAAAGGTCAAAGTAGCGGGAATGACAATAACAAGGCAGCACCATCAGGATGCACCGAGCGGGGAGACGAATAGAGGTGAGATAGACGAAACGAAAATAACAGCAGAAAGGGGATGAAATGCAAGGAAAATTTGAGTCAGAAAGCAGGAAGAGATGAAAGCACAACTCGTCCGTGCAGTCCAAGGAGCCTCGCGAGCGATCCTTGCAGAAATGGAACGGCTGAGTAGAAATGATATGAAATGAGAGGCGGGGGGAAAAACGAGTCAGAAGTGCAGCGACATGAAAAGATAGAAATCAGTCGAGAGCTCCAAGCGAAGGAACAAAACGAAATCGCAGTCAACAAATGTAATGGCTGGAGAAAACGAATAGGAGCGAGGCAAGATAAGAGAGCGCTATATATAGCGGCGAGTGATGCAGTCGAATGCCAGGCCATGGGGACTTACAGAAATACATGTCGAGCCGAACGTTGGGCCTGCTGGAGTAGTTGAAGAAATATCTGTAAAAAATGTGATTCAGTTCATAAACAAAAGAAAGGTTGGACTCGGCGTACCTCGAAGCGTGCCGGTAATGCAAACGGGATGGCATCCAAATGCGTTGACAGAGTTGAAAATATGAGTTGTCCGAGTTTGGGGTGCAGCGAAACACCAATCTGGATCAGAGGTGTCGAATAGACTATGTCTGCGTGCGAATGCCCAGCAACGGCGAAGAATGAGCATAATATGTGGAAGGTAAGCGTTGGATGTGCAGGAATTGCAGACGGACATGGTCCGAGTGAGGTTCAACTTTATGCTGGGGCCGTCGATGCAGTAAAAATAAGTTGAAATGGATAGATATAAGAGTAACGATGGACATACCTCGGGCGAGAGAGCTCAGGCTATTAGAGGTTGACGCGAATGGCATGCATCGAGGTTAGGCCCGGCCAGAGGCGAGTTGGAGTCGAAGGTGGATATTGAATTCGTTGATGGTGGCACTGACTGATGCAGTCCTTTTGAGGGTCGCTACGGATTTTCGAATTCCGGACCCAGGATGCACCAGAACTGCGGCAACTCGACAGGGTCTTGGATGTGTGTAATGGAATATCTGTAAAGTATGAGTCAAAGATGGTGGAGATGGAAGACGGACGTGGTGGGAGTCAAGATCAGAGGTGGCAGGATCTTTGTGGTTGGCCGCATCGACTCAAATCCTCAGGAAAAAATGAGCTAAAAAATAACGATGAGATATAGTGATAGAAACTAATGTACCTCGTGCCAGAGAGATATTTGTGTGATAGATTATCTATAAAGTGTGAGCCAAAGACATATGAGAGACGGAAGACGAACGTAGTGCGAATCAAGATCAGAGTGATGGGAGCTTATCTGTAGAGGTGAAAAAAATGAGTTGAGATATAGGCCAGAGATAATTCTAACGTTACCTCGGAGTTGTACGACGGACACATCTAAGCCACGCGTTGCGTCGAGATTGCGGAATCGGATGCAGTTGGATGTACATGTTGAATAAGAAGGATCTAAAGCAAACTCGGGAGAAGGATGCGCATCAATCAGAAATAGAAGACTAGAAATACTCGAGGAGGAGTGCGCCACGTCCAATACAATTCGGAATCGGCCGCGAAATGAAGTGCGGTTATGAATAGATTATTGGAGTCGAAGTTGAAGTTGCGGTGAACGCAAGAAACGACGATATATAGCAAGCAGCAATGCAGTCAGCGCAGGGATAAGGCTCAAGACAAAACCCACCGATGGAATTTGTGATGTGTAGTTGAAGTTGGAAGTTTGAAGTCGAATGCTGAGCCGCTGAGGCTTCATTTTTTCCTGGGCTCGATTCGTCCTTGAGACGGTCCCATGAAAATATAATATCCGAGCGAAAGCGCCGGGCCCTGTTTTGCCATGGAGTCTGGTTTTCTAGTCGTCTTATTTCTTCTTCGCCCGCAAGTTCCTAAATTCGGCTGATATAAATCCAGGGAACGAACTAGGGGAAGAAATGGGACGTGGTGTACGGCGCACCGCCGCATTCGATATGCCAGAATACGTATGAACAGCAGCAAGCCGGGGTTCGACTCCCCGCGTCCCACTTTTGGTAGCAGAAAACTTACTTTTTTTCTGTTCCTTTCATATAAAGATTTGGGTCTTTGGAAGAGTCTGAAACTTAAGATGAAGGTGAGATATATATATATATATAATTGAGGAAAGTGCGGGTTCCAATGTCGCGCCCGATCGCGAGTAGCAGTGATTTTGCAGCTTTGCTTCAGCAGTTCACAAATTCCGTTTGTATAAATCCAGGGAACAAATAAGCGGAGTAAATGGGACGTGGTGTACGGTGCACCGCAGTATTCAATAGATTTTGAGATGACCGAGTAAAGCAGCAGGTCGGGGTTCGACTCCCCGCGTCCCAATAGCAGAAATACGTGCACTTTTTTTTCAAGTATTCATTTAATTTTTTGTGCAGGGCGTATTGAGACTTTACTGAGACCAATTTAATACGGCTATCCTGCACTGAGAATCCTGCTGGCAGAGGTTGAAGTTCGACATCGAACATTGCATGTGGGGCTCGCTGCGTGCGGCGAGGTAGAGGACGGCGCGAAATCCGGGGTTGCGTGGGCGTGCATCGCGGCTGAGGATCGAGAGGGGTGTACAAGGCTGCTCGCCTGGAGACGGAGTGCAGCATGTGCTTCGTCGACGACGGCTCGAGGGTGTAGTGACACTTGTGTGCTTGTGGGTACACGAATACCTGGACGCCATCGGCGGATTCGCGGGCTGGGTGGAGGAGAGGCTCCAGGCGCCTGTGGAATGCATGTTAGTGCGCATATTGCAAGGAGTGCTTGCGGGCGCAAACTGGGGATGCATGTGCTCGAGCTCGAAACGGGATACTTGCTCCTCTTGCGGGTGTGCTTGAGCTCGAGCTCGAAGATCGGAGTTCTTGCTCAGGGCATGGAAGCGGAAGCATAGTCGGACTCGTGGACTCGGAGGTGTGTGCGAACCTGAGGGCGGCTGCTTGCAGCTCGATCTAACACCTTTGCAATCTGATCCTGCGAGTTTGTAGAATCCTTGCAGTGATAAACTCTTTTGAGTTCGGAATTCGTTGCGAATGCTGCATGTAAGTAGTTTATTAGACAACTTGTGTGATCTTTCGCCTGACGAGGATTCACAGACTACGCCTAGTATTTTATTTCTTCCCTTGTCTCCGCAACCTCTGCTATGTAGCCACAAACCGCGTCTGCAAGGTGGATATCACTCGAGCCGTCATTCACGCCTAGGCCTCGTATTAAAGGCTCACAGCCCTCCCTCAATCACGCACAGACTCACCACCTACTCAAAAAATCTGACCATATATGTAACTAACCCCGCCCTCCCGTGCGCTATCCATCCAACC